TGACGATCATTTCAGATGTGCTTTCTTTTTTTTTACATATTTTTTGGCTTCATCCAAGTAACAAAAAACAAAAACAGAGATGATTTCATCTCAGAGTGTGAAACCTGCAGAGCTGAATCTGAAATTCAGCTGAGAGTTAAATGATCGCAAACACACATATCAGAGCGCACGTTCTTGTAAACGTACTTTTTGGGGACTTTGCATCGACGTCTATTCATTTCTGTCGCCTAACCCTGCATCTTTCCTTAAAACCTAACTGTGCCTAGTATTAGTAATGGTAAACTAGTACTAGGCAACTTCTAGTAAACCTAACCCCTAACCCGCCAACAAGACTTCTCTTTCTGAGGACATGGCATTTGGTCCACAAAAGAAGCAGGTGGTCCCCTCAATGCAGGATTTTTTTGTAAAATTGGTCCCCACAGTACTGCAACAACACACACACACACACACCTCGAGCAGTCAGCATTGCCTGTGTACATTATTTTTGACATTAACCATTTAAGAGAACAGTATCTTTGACACAAAGTGGCTTTTATTTAGACACTAAATGGAAAAAAAACACTAAAAGTCAATTACTATTGTCTTTTCTCTTTTTTGCTTCTAGATCTTTTTTTTTTTTTAAATGACAAATGAATTTACTAATTTTGTCAGAGCTCTTTCTAGCCACTGCAGCTTTAATTGCTAATTGTTAACAGCAAATGAATACATTTGCATATTAATGAGCTCCCAATTTACATTTTTAATTTGCCGCCTTCAAAGAGTGTGAGATAAAAGGTTGTGTTATTTTAAATTATTTATCCTTCGGCACAGAAAAGATGCTTAGAGGAAAATGTGGGGGTGATGTTTTTTAACCCCGAAGAGCTCGGAAACGTATATAAATAAATATATACATCACTTATTTTTGTCCCTTAATTAAAGGCGACTAGACGAAAAATGGTGCATTTAAAGATATTTTAGGACAAAGCACCACAGAGGGTTTCTGCACGAGTCAAGTTTGGAAACCAGATTCGTTTTTTCTCTCATCTTTTTCTGCTTCGTGTTCGTGAATGTGTGTGTGACAGCGCGTGTGTGTGTTAGATGATTTGCCTTTTATCACTCCATTTTGTCCTCTCTCCCTCCTGACACATCAATTGATTTGGCAGCCGGCGCCTTCGGTTTCCGGCTTTCACCACGAAGCGCAGAACAAGTTCAGAAATTCATTAAGATGAAAAACAGTCACCACTGTATTCTTCCTGAGGAGGAGGAGGTGCAGCATATGTGTGTGTGTTTCTATCTGTGTGTGTTAGAACGGTTTTTGGATTAGTGCCAGACGACAGATTTCACAGGCCGGACACCAGCACATGGCAACTGTTTTTAATTGATTGTTTTTGTGACAAACAGGTGAAATAAACCCACGTTAACTCAGTCAGAAAGAAAAAGTCAGACTTGTATTCGTTGTCTGAAGCTTTTCAACAATCAGCTTCAGTTATGGTTATTTCAAAAGAGGTAAAAAGAGTTCTTGGTTGTTGGTTGTTGGTGCAACACTCTGCACACAGAGGCTTAAACCTAAATCCTGCAGCTCATCCTGATGTAAACGAGGCCTAAATTAAAAATCTGCATTATTGTCAGGTTTTCATTTTTCTGGTGTAATCGACTTCAGCAGACTTTGTGCTTTATTAACCGTTCATGCATCAAAATGTTCAGCTCATTTAGGAGATGGACACTTTTTATACTTTTCACAATTTTTAACACTATTTACAAATATTTGCTGATAGGAATGCATCAAGATTCCTCCAAAATTATTGTTTTTGACATCCGCTTAAGCAAATTAGCTTGTTTTTTTTCTTATGCTGCTTTTAGCATTTAACTAGTCTTTTGTTACTTTTTGCATTTTGTGACCATTCTGATACTTTTGCTGTTAGCAACAATTCTGCCACTTTTAGCTTTTTGCTTACATTTTAGTATGTTTAGCTAGCATTTTGCTAGTTTTAGCTAGCCTTATGCTACTTTTAATCTTTAACTTTTTTATTTTTTTGCTGGAGGGAAGTGGTGACACAGAGGTTAGAGAATGTGATCGGAAGGTCACCGGTTCAACTCCCTGATCTGACATCAAAATGTAGGTGGGAAAGGTGAAACACCCACACCTGCCTCCACCCTCACTTGCCCCACCCTGAGCTCTTGAGCAAGGTCCTTAACCCCCACCATCTGCTCCCCCAGGCACTCCAGATGGCAACTCTCTGCTCCACTCAGAGGGTTGTGGTAGCTCGGCGGTCTGTGGTTGTGTCAGGAAGGGCATCCGGCGTAAAAATAATTGCCAAGTCTTTGTGCAAGTTAGTTTTCCGTGGTGACCGCTGAGAAAGGGAGCAGCCAAAAGAAGAAGAAGAAAGAAGCTAGCATTTTGCTACTTTTTACTTTAGGTTAGCCTTTTACTACTTTTATCCTCAAGCTAGCATTTTACTACATTTAGTTACCTTTTTGATATTTTTAACTAGCGTTTTGATACTTTCATCTTTATGATAGCAATTTGCAAGTTTTAGCTAACCCTTTGCTACTTTTCGCCTCTATCTAGAGTTTTATCATTGTATGTATTAGCTACATATTTGCCATCTTTTGCTACTTTTGTCCTTTTTCTCTTCTTATTTGCAACGGTTAGATTTTTACAAGTATTTGGCTACTTGTGGACTTTCGTTAGCATTTAGCTTGTTTTAGCGTTTAGCTAGTGTTCTGATTTTTTTGCTTTAACGACTCCAAATCAGCTTCTTATCAGCAAATTTGAACAAAGTATTTTTGCTACATTCCTGCTGTTTTATTTAATAGAAAATGTTCTTTCTTTAGTTTAGTCTTCTTATTTGTGTTTTCTGTAACAAGTTGAAGTTACTTCTTCTAAAAACAGTCCATTTGGTTGATCTCATGGCTGTATTTCCTGTCTGAGACAGACTTTAGGTTTTCACATGCATTATTACACAAAACTCAACATTTAATTACTATGCATTAACTTAAAGATTTAAAACAAGGAATTAATTAAACAAAATCCCAAATGCATCTCTGTCCTTTTAATTTATTTCATTTAAACTCAGAAATTTATTAAAAAAAAAACCTAAAGCTCACACTGACTAAAACATTTAATTTTTTGTTATTAATTTGATTTTAATGAGATCTTGAATGTTGATGCTACAACAAAAGTTCAGCAGGTTTCTGACATACAAACGATTTCAGTTTCAAATACATCTGAAATATCTCTGGGTCATTATTAATCTGACGTGCTTAGAATTATATTAAATATTATATTTTTCCCCAGGCTCTTGTTTTATATTTTCTGTTTAAATATAATTTCATATGTTTCATTTTGGATTGCACTAATTTAACAACAGTAGCTCAAATTGTACTTCTCATCAATAATAAAGTTTTTTTATATACATATGTCACAAATAATGTTCTAAGTGCCAAACTGCACTTCATTTGTCAGTATCTCTGCAGTTGTTGCAAACTGATTGTCTTGGCAATTTATTTTCCACCAAAACAACAGAAACTGAAACATTTCATGTCTCTTACAGATAAGAAGAAGAAAAGCGACTAATTTTGACCTTTTAAAACTGACAGAGGAAGAATGAATCCACCAATCAGATTTGAGAGGCAGTTCTGTGTGTGCAGATTCACACACTGTGGAAAATCCACATTTCTTACTCCTAGAATGAGCCACATCACCTCACTAAGCCATGTTTAAAATAAATACTTTGTATTTTATTTTTAGTTAAACCATAAAAAAGCTAAGCAAACACTCAAATAAGAAGCAATGTGCAATATTGGTCTTTAAAAATATGTAGGAGATGTGGGGAGGGCTGATCTATTCATTTTTAAAGAGACAAAAAAGGAATCTTAGTTAAGAGCTAGGTAAAATAAATACTCTTCTGATTTTATTTTTGTCAGTAATTTCACCTGTTTTCTTGGCGCAGACATGCAGTTTGTCTGTGTAAGAGCATGTTTGTTAGGAGAGATAATGTTCAGTGTAAATTCAGCCTCGTTCCAGTTACACACCAGTCTTTTGTTCATGTAAGAGACCAGTTTATGTTCCGCTGATCTAATTTCTACAGAGGCATGTTGCTGCTGCTGTCCTTTTGTCTTTAGCTTCTCCTCATGCTGCTTCGAATCAAGACTTGATCCTTTTTTTTATTCAGAAGAAGAAAGATTTAAGGAAGAAACTGAAGATGTGTGTGCGCATGTTGGTTCTGTGGGGTGCCCAGGGCCACTATGGAACTTTTCAGGGCCACTGGGGAAAAATGGGCACCCTAGATGTTTTATCATTCTTGCTCTTAAAACCAGAGAAAGTAACCACCTGAAATTGTTTAATTTATTTAGATTTTTTTAAACAACCAGTTCTGTGTTTATGTTTTAATTTGTACACTTCTGGGGCCCCCTGGTGGAGCCTTCCTGCTTCAACAAACGGATAAAAGTTAAACCTCCTGCAAAAAATAAAAAATAAAAAAAATCCCCCGAAATAAGTGTTTCACAGGAAGTGGAACCTGTGTTTAAACTCCAAGGAGAAAATCCTAATTTAAATCAGGTTTATCAGCTCCTTATGTTGAGCAAAACCAACATCAGTCACAAGCAAATGGATCCTATCAGCTCCTATTTATGCAAAAGATGCTTTTTAAAAATCTGTCGCCTTGTTCTGCTTGTCAGTGTTCTCCACCACCCGTGCAGATCTGCCACCTCCCGTGATTGATGCAGTCAAATTAGATGTATGTGGAACACTGGCGCCGGCAAATGAACACATCAACTGATGACCAGCTGTTTCTAATTATTATACACTGGTTAATTAGGACGCCGTGTCACCATCAACAGTGGCGATAAACTGTGCAAAATTCATAATTCATACTCCGGCATCCAATGAGGCTCCGTGATCAAACCGCCATGGTGGATGGAGAGGCCGTGCAAATGCAGAGCGGGGAGGGTGTGTGTGTGTGTGTGTGTATGTGTGTGGGCGTGCGCCACTTCCTCACACCTCTCTGTGTCTCTCTCAGCAGGGTGTGTGTGGAGGTGGCACTGTCGAACGTCTGGATCTCAAAGGTAAGCTGAGCGCCTCGCTCCGTCCCTATTAAATATGATTTGATGTCAAATTCCCAAAAACACTCACTGTATTCATATAGTTTCATGAATTCAAACAAAGTCATATTGTATTAAACATTTAAAAATGCTGGCTCCCAGCTTTACATATCAGTTTTAAAATGTGTTTATTTATAATACCTACTTTTGTTTTTTGTTTGTTTTTATGATTTTATTCCAAATCGAATGTGCAAGTCTGAACGTTAATCCATCATTAAAGCCTCCAGTGGAGACTGAAACCACTTCTAAATTCAACTGGCCCTAATTGTCTGGATGTTTTGTGGTTTCTGCATTTGATTTTGTCCCGTTTATCTTTATTTTGTTTCTGAAGTTTATGTATTTTTATGGCTGTAGTCATCCTCTTCCTGGGTCTTTGTATAATAGCCACAACAGTTTGTATTTTTGTTTTGGTTCATATTATTCACCAGTTTGTCCATAGGTTGTTGTTTTTATTTTTTTATATTGTTTCCAATTATCTCAGTTATCAACCATTAAACCACATAATTAAACTTTACAGTTTTTGAAGTGATGTTCTGTAGCTCCTCAGATAAATAACATTATTAACTGACTTGTATTTGAATGTTTCTGATCAGTGCCCTGAGATGACTTCTGTTGTGATTTGGCGTTATATAAATAAACTGAACTGAATTGATTTGAACAGTAAACACTGTTTCCCCTGTGACATCAGTCATTGAGCACAGAGTCTTTATCCGTGATCAGCTGATATCTAAATGAGCGAGGCAACATGAAGTTCAGCATTTCCTAGGGTCTCTTCCCAGTTGGTCATACCTGGAGCACATCCCTATGGAGGCGTTCAGGGTCCATCCTTACCAGATGCTTGAATCACCACAGCTGGCTCTTCTGCATGTGGACGAGCAGCAGTAGAGTCTTTCCCAGAGAACTGAACTTCTCACTTTATCTCTAAGGGAGGGTCCAGCTACCCTTCAGAGTTAACTCGTTTGGACCGCCTGGATCTGCAATCTCGTTCTTTCAGTCACCACACAAAGCTTGTGAGGATAGTAATGTAAACCGAACAGTAAACACAGAGCTTCTCCTTCAAGTTCGACTCCCTCTTCACCACAATAGACTGGCACAGAGTGCACAATACTGCCAAAGCTGCACCAGTCCATCTGTCAATCTCACGCCTTATTCTTTCCTCAAAACAAACTTACACAACAACTAAATAGTTAACATTGTTCTGTTATTAACTTTGCATTTAGTGTTAGATTTTGTGAGTTTTGGACACCTGTGCAAACCTCTTCACCTCAGCCATAATGTGAAGAATTTGCTTCAAATTAAACCAAAAGATTTGGTGATCAAAGCGTGTCGCCAGGACGAAGGGTGAAGGAAGGGAACAGGATTGAGAAGACAACAAAAACCAAAACCAGAAACTAATTAAGCAGAACAAGTTGTGTTAAAGCTGTTCATAACTGCCTCTAACTATCATCTGTGTAACATAAAATCCTGTAATGTAGAGTAAAACAACTGAATAAAGTTACCGTCTACCAAGGAGAATATAAGTTGTTCTCAGTGTTTGACATTCAGTGTTTGTTTGTTGTTTTGTTTAGTTAAAGAAATCACAAATCGTTTATCAGTTTGAGAATTTAAGCTGGTGTGTACAGGTATTTTTATTGATTACTGTGGGCTGCAGGCAGACAGTGAACACTCAATAAACACTCGAGCGCTCACATCTTGCAAGTCCAATCATGAAAAACTGCAGCAATCATCATCATTTCTCTCTGTCTTTCTGATTAAGTCTCAGAACTTTTATTAAAAGAAAACACAAACATGCAGATAAACTTTGACTGTAAAGGAAATTGTTTTGTCCTGATTGTAGCTGAAATACTTTTTATTTTAAAAAAAAGCACATTTAGATGTGCACAATTTTGCCCGTTAGCAAACAGCGTCCCAATTATCTTGGTTTGATTGCTTTCCTCCATCAAGGTGAGCGATTAGACCACAGCTCCTGTGAAGCTCTGGAAGTTGTCCTGAAATCGCTGCACTTTGATTTCATCAGTCTGCAGGCAGCCCAACTGGAAGAAAATGTGAGTTTTATGAGCAAAAGTGTTTTTTTTTTCCTCCTCTGTTCTTCATCTTAGTTCCAATACAGTTTCATATTCAGACCTTTCCTGGTATCAGATTAAAGTTTTTTCCCTGCTTCCCAAAGAAACTTCATAACGTTCCTGTCAAATTTAGGGCCTTGCTTTCTTCATTTTTCCCCCTTCACTATGTTCTCTGTTCCAGGGAGCGTCATCCTTGCTGGATATGATTTTGTACTACGAATCTACAACCCATCTTGACGTTTCTGACAACAGCAGTATGGGAACATCGGCTTGGAGGGCCCTCGCTCATTTGATAAAGCAGGTTAGGTGGTGGAGCAGTAATCTTTTCATGTAGGCTTTCTCGCAGGGATAACGCTCATTCTGGAAAGTGAGTTTGGGGCGCGTTATGTAGGGAGAAGATGCAGGGCCAAACAAACAGGGTGAGAAGTCAACTCACCGCAGACGCCGGCAGGAACACCGGATTTAATGCAGCGTCACAGAGAATATCAGCAAATGAAACTGATAAGATGGTGCCTCTCAGATCACTGTTATCAGGGCAAGGTCAGGACTCTGAGTTGGTTTGTCAAAATAAACAGAATTCCACTAGTTTGTGTTGACAGATTGATCATTTCATTATTAAAACACAGGTTTAAAAGAGGGGAAAAAAGGCAGTTTTAATGATATGTACGCACAAGAAAACAATGAAGATGGAGATCTTGCCTTCAACAGATTCCTCGTTCTGGTGGCTTTGTGTTGCAGAGTGTGCGTCTCTCCAGGCTGGATGTGTGTAACGTGCCCCTGAGTAACTATCCGGTTCAGTCTTTAGCCAAAGCTCTGCTGACCAGCCGGCTCACCGTTCTACACCTCCACAATGCCCAGCTGAGCGGCATGCCACTGTTCACACTGGGTATGAAGCACACACACACAAATATATTTATCTTTAAAGCACATTTTAACAATCTAGAGACCAAAGTCATGTGCAGAACATTAAAATGCACACAAAAATTACAAAACTAGAAACACTTGGATATCGCACACCACCATAAGGCGTAAAGACCTAGACCAGGACTGTTCAACAAAACTGTTCGGGGGGCCACAGTTACTGAAAGTCAGCAGCTCGGGGGCCAGATATCCGGCAATTAAAGTCATTATGTAAATAAACCAAGTATTACAATGATCTGTTAACTTTTAGATTTCCATTTTTTGTTGCATTGACTCATATGCGATAAACAGAACACAAACCTAATATACTGTGTGTGTGTGTATGTATATATATATATATATATATATATATATATATATATATATATATATATATATATATATATATATATATATATATATGTAATTTATTTATTTTAAATGAACTCAATGGTGGTTCTGGCCCGCGGACCACCAATTGAATAGCACTGCCCTAGTGCTCATGCAGTAACGTCTTGTGCTCAGACAGACAGGCCAACGCTACCCAAAGCATAATGTTCTTAATGGAGGTAACAGAAAAAGTTGATGAAACAATATCAATTAAAAAACTTTAGACAACACCCAGAAAAACAAAACGTTAAAACAGTTGAAGTCGTTTGTATCTATAATATTGATTTTTAAGTAGGACAATTTTTGTCTTATTTGTTTACATTTGAAAGGAAATACTGGGGCCCAAATTGGATCCCTGAGGTACACCTTAAGTGACGTGGACACTCAAAGGGGAGAAAATCAGCAACTTAAAAGAGAAGATAAACCTTTGCAGTTTGACTCTCTGGACATCTTTCTGGTTGTTTCTTGTCATCCTGGCTCTTTAAAAGTTACTGTTGTCGTTCGTGATAAATGTTGCGCTGAGGACAAAGGCACCTTATATTGCATATTTTCCACTTTCTATTTAAAAATAAATTTATCTACAATAATATCTTAAATAATGAAATAAGATTGAGGAGTTTCATTCACTCAGCTAAAATAAAAAGTATTTTTTGTCTTTGAAAACTGTGTGTCGATGCAAAAGACAAACACAAAGTCTCCAAAATGTCTCAAAATGGTTGCAATGGCTTACTGTGTGGTGTTTAAATTTTAAACATGTACAAAAAAATTGCACTAAAAATATTTACAGGGTTGCCCCAAGCACCTGAAGGCCTCTCGAACCCCTCTCTATTGGAAAAAATAAACATAAATTGTGATTTAATTGAGTCAGTTTATTCAGCCTTTACTTACGTACACAAATGTGTCATAAATACTAATTCAGTGTGTTTCTAAGTGAAGATATGTGTATTTTCCCACAATTTGTTTTTCCAATTAGTTCCCAAAAGGTGCAGACCAAATCCTGGCTTAAGGATCAGGTTTGTTCAAGACTTTTTTAAATCACATCAGGAAAACTCAACAGAACATAAGAACTGAGGCGATTCTCCTGTAAGTCCTTCTGGGAATTCACTGACTGATTTTATACCGATTTTTTTTATTGTCAAACATAGCAACGATTGAAACCAGTCAAACTTTCAGAGCTACTTATTTTTGTTGCATCATGTCCAGAGAAACAGCAGCAGCGTCCAAGCTTTGTTTTCGCTCTGAGAAATCTGGTTTGCATGGAAACAGTCTCCATACACCAAAGATTATTTACATATCTTTTGCATGCAAATATGACCATTTTATATAGAGCATCCTCTGTGTGTGTGTTTGTGTGTGTACAAGTATTCGATTTGTGTGTTTGTGCTGTGCGGTCAGCAGGACCAGATTTTGACCCATGACCATCTCTGCAGGTCTGGACCAGGATTAGAGGCCTAATCTCTTACCTGCCACTTTACGCACCGCTGCACATGTCTTTAAAGGAAGTGGCAGCCAGGACACACACACACGCACACACACACACACATACAATGGGATGCTTTATAGAAACACACAAATTAAAATACTCTGCTGAGCGAGATTGATCGGGTTTGTTGTGTCTCAGCTGTTCTGGTGAAGAAGAGAACGAAGTGTGTGCGTGAGTGCATGTGTGGGTCTTTGAGTGTTTTGGGGGTGGTAGTGCAAGCATGATGGTCATGTGACTACAGATAAATTGAGTGTAGAAGCAGACACACACAGGTTAGAAGAGTGTACACAATCATACATAAATGCATTAATACACTCACAGGAAAACACCAAAGAGGTCGATTGAGTGCTGTGCATGGATGATTACACACACACGTGCATACACACATACACAGTTCTGAGCATACTTTTATACTTTCAGTAGGCCTTTTGCTACTTTTAGCTTTTAATTAGCGGGTGTTTTGATACTTTTTGCTAACCTTTAGCTACTTTAAACTGTTTTTTTTTTCTTTTGGCTTTTGCCTATTTTAGCTTTTAGCTGGTGTTCTGCTTCTTTTGGTTTTAACAACTCCGTTTCAGCTTTTTCAGCGTTTCTGCATTTTCACAGAAAATGACATTTCTCGAGTTTGAGCTGTGATAAGAGAAACTCTGATGCAAATTCATGACAAATGTCTCTGTGTGTCCTGTTTATATAGAACAAAACACACTCATTAATATATTTTATAAGAACAAATAAAAGCAAAAATCTTTTTTAGTCAAATCATATTTGCCAAAAACAACTTTTTATGAAAAAACTTTTCTTATGTAGTTTTCCCTTTTACTTTACATGTTATGGAAATGCAGCAGCATTCATGCAGACATGATGAGACATAAAATACATAAAATCTGCTTTTTATATTTAGTTTTTATTATATCATAATTATAACCAAGAGTAATAATGCTATTTTTAATTCAGTTTATTGTTTTTATACTGAGACCGAGCCATTCAAAGAAACAATTCAAAATAAAACTTACATTAATAATTGTAACATAACTGTAATATTAATTATATTTCTAACATTTATATTATAATGCAGACCAGTCCGATTCAGATATACAGGAGAGAAAGCTCAGGAGGTCAGCAACGACAAATAATTATTTTTATTTGAAATTCCACATCTGTGAAGTGTAAACTCAAGTCAGTGAAAACCCTGCAGCTTTATAAAGGCTTATTTTGACTTCATGCTTGTATTTTGTTGTGTGTTGTTATATTCAGTCCATGATGGATCAGTTTGTGTTTGTGACTCTTCATGTGGACAAAAAAATCCAATCTGAGCCCAGCGCCGGTCGCCTCCTCTCAGCTGGGAGCAGAACAGACCCAAACGGACTCAGTATGCTGCCCACTCTTCCCTCCACATTTTCAGATGCTTCCTGGATCTCTTTGATATTTTCAGCTTTGACAAACACCCTCATCCTCCTCCTCTTCCCACTCACTCTCCCACCCATCATCCCTGCCTTTACAGCTACCCTCCTCCCCCACCACATTCCAGCCCAGCATGGGGCCCAGCTGAGGATCATTGCCTTCGATCAGAGCGGATTGGGCGCTCGCGGTGGAGTTGGCCAGATCAATCCCACTGACTCCACCATTTGGTTCCCACTGAGCCTGATGACAATGTTGGCATTCGACGTGCAGCCCGGTGGGCTTGATCAAATCTGTGGAATCGATCTGGGTGGAAGGGCAGCGAGGGTCCAGAAAACATGGACGTAAGCAGACCACAGCACAAATAAAACAAAAAGTACACCTTTGCAAAGCATCACTCAGGCTGAGACAGTTAGAGAGGACATGGAGATAGTTGGAGTGAGGACAGAGGATGCAGAGGACAGAGTGAGATGGAGGAGGATGACTCACTGTGGCGACCACTGATGAGGGAAAAGCCGAAAGAAGAAGAAGATCCATGTTTTGCTGATAGGGAAAAATCACTTCTTCACTGTGATCCCTGCAGGAGATCCCTGCTCTGCAGTCAGTTGTAGATCAGGTTCTGCTCCTACACAAACACAACAAATAATTTCACTAATTTAAATTAAAATGTATGTTCCATGTGTTTGTGAAGTTAGGATGTGGTAGGTAACACTTCTGTCTGACTCTTGTGTAGTTTCACCTCACAGCAACAGAAGCAACTTAATCTTCACTGAAGTTAGCTAAAACCAGCTGAAACGGTTGATACAATTCACCAAATGAGCTCTAATAACATGTAGCATAGTCATGGTTGCTTTGTTCCAGCTGTTTACATCTGTTCTGTCTCTTTATGTCTATGCTCACGTGCAAAAGCTGAGCCGCCCAAAATGATAATCTACAAAACCTGAAAGTTCAACATAAAAATGAAATCTTTGGGACATGGATCTTTTAAAACAAACAAAAAAATAAAACATGTTCCCGCACTTCGACCTGCATTAACTCAACGATGTCACGTGTTTGAGCAGATGTAACGTTCCCATTGTGTTGTGCTTCTGGTCTGCGTCTCGACTCGTTGCCTGCAGTTGGTGCCCTGAAGACAAACAGAGCTTTACAGGAGCTCCATTTAACCAACAACCTGCTGAACAGCTTCCAGGATGCCCTGCAGCTGGGGGACCTGCTGAAATACAACACCTCTCTGCAGACTCTGGAGCTCAGCAACAACGCTGTAGCAGATGATGGTGAGATGCTTGTATTTGTTGCTTTTGCCTGCAGACGACCAGCTTAGGCCCTGCTTGTAAACATTTTATGAAATAAGTTTCAAATTTGACCTTTTTTCTATTCTGATCATTGTAAGGATTTCCTGAACTTCTGTCCTGACACTCAGCAGCATAAATTAACTGTAGAACATGTGTTGGTTTTTTTCAGGGTTGGAGGAGCTGTGTGGAGGTCTGTTGAAACAGACAGAAGGTCTGAAGGTCTTACTGCTGCGAAACAACCAAATCACGGAGAGAGGCATGAAACACCTGGCCAAAGTTCTGGTGAGGAAGACCAGCACCAGGAACACTTTCATCCTCAGCACATCCCTTTCAATGAAAGCATGTGAATTTATCATGTTTTTCTCACAAGATCACGTGAAAAAACAAAGTGACCAATTTGAATTGTGGTAAATGTTTCAAAACCACACTGGGAAAAGTGTGCAAAGCACGTTTCACATCTAAAAACAGGGTTTTCTACATGATGTGCACTATATGTTGTCATCGTTGTATGTTCCCATGCAATGACAAAATTGGTTCTCTGCATTTAACCATCGCACGTGGGATACACCCAGGTGGAGCAGTGGGTGGCTATTGAGCACCTGGGGAGCAATTAGGTATTGGGTGTCTTGCTCATGAACATCACGACATGTGGGAATGGCTGGGAGTCGAATCGCGACTTTCTGGTCCCAGGTTGGCTACTCTGCCTCTACCCCATCTCGGCCCCCACTAAAGTTCATATGAAGTTATTTTGTCTTGACAGAATCTTTGTTTATTTTTTTAAAGTAAACATTTATATCTGTATGCAGCCAGTCCTTTTCCACAAATATATAACTTTGATAAATGATGTGTAGAAGAACTGCATGTAAAATGTATGTAGGTGCATAAAGCAAACATAGAAACATGAACATGTAAAGGAAATTAAAGGCACAAATAAGAGTGGAGTGTAGTATTGATGGTGGAGTTAATGTTTTACCTCTTCGAGTGGACAATTACCAATATGGATGTAGTTCACTGGAGAGGGGAGACATTTTAAATTGTTGTTGTTTCTGATATGACCACTAGATGGCAGTGGTTGTTACATGCCGACCCTTTAACACATTTGAATTTGACAGTTTAATTTGTCCTTATGTCAGAGCAGTATCATATTATTTTTTGCATTTTTTGTGCTCTTAGTTCACTTATGATCCATGCTGGTTGATGGTACTGGTTCTGATAGAAATGGAAAGCAATCCAGCAGCTTGACCATACAAGTCATGCGGGAGGAGTTTACGAACTTCTCATTGGACACCATTTCAGCATTAATATTCATAAAATTATTTATTTATTTCATTATATATCAGGTCTAACAGAACACAAATTAATTATTTGAGATGAAATGTGTCATTGTCAGATTCTGTTCATAACTTTTATGGACAGAATTTCTCGGTACAGCCAGGGGGCAGAGGGATTCTGGTTCAGTGGCCTCAGTTTTCTGTCTCTGCTCTTTGCGGATGATGTGGTCCTGTTGACATCATTGTGCCATGATCTCCAGCTTTCACTGAAATGGTTCACAGCCGAGTGTGAAGCAGCTGAGATGAGAATCAGCACCTCCAAATCTGAAACCATGGTCCTCAGTTGGAAAAGGATGGATTGCTCTCTTCAGGTCGAGGTTGAGGTTCTGCCTCAAGTGGAGGAGTTCAAGTATCTGAATGAAATAGTGGAGCGTGAGATTGACAGACAGATTGGTGCAGCATCTGCAGTATTGCAGACTCTATGCCGGTCCGTTGTGGTGAAGAGTGAGTTGAGCTGTAAGGCAAAGCTTTCCCTGTTTACTTGTCGGTCTACCTTCCTACCCTCACCTATGGTCACGAACTTTGGGAAGTGACTGAAAGAATGAGATCACGGATACAGGTGGTTGAAATGAGTTTCCTCCGCAGGGTAGCTGGACTCTTCCTTAGAGATAGAGTGAGAGGTTCAGTCATCCGGGAGAGATTCAGAGTAGAACCACTGTAGACGAACAGATGCTGGGATATATTCATCATTTAACGCGGGTTCCTCATTTTTCTGGACTGAATAAAACGTGCATTGAATTTAAGGAAATGCAAAGTGAGACGTCATTTATATTTGACCCATCAAAATGAATGCGGTCATTTATTTACAGAATCAAATTTAACATCAAACATTTACATTAATTTGGCAAATTATGAAAATAACAATATAAGCAATCAATCAGGAAAAATCATACGGCCATGATTTTTCCGTTGCTGCACCACAGACATTTATAAACTGTACAACTATGATCTTTTACCCACACGGATGTGAATAAGCACTTTACACAGACATTTCTAAATATCTGGGAGAATTTCTACTTGATAGAAAGTTAAAGATGAAAGAAGTTAAAGGGAGTAAGATTGAATGGGAGGGGAGGAATGTTCACCAGAACCGACACTCTCCATCAGAAGCCCAGCTCTCCTTCGGTACGCTTGGTAGGAAACTTGATCCATTACCTTTCTGAAGATTCATCAGCAGATATGGAATTCCGTTAACGCTACCTGTCCAGCGTCTCCTGATGGTGGCTGTAGCTCGTCAGAAGTAGTGGCTAGTGAAAGTTATAATCCCATGGAACTCGGAAGAGCTTTTTGTCATGTCAAGATCATCCCGTCTCCGACAGAACTCGAACAGAACCAGCAGAAAACTCTCCAGCACTCTCGAACTCTCCAAAAACTCTAGAAGTCTGACAACTCTCCAACTCCGTGTAGACCAGGAAGTACTGACATTTTAAAGACTCTTTCCCGGTTCATTTTTGGGATGTGTTCATTGGTCAGAAACGACCAGACGGGGTGGGTTTTGTGACGTAAGAGGTTAGAGACAGCGAGAATTGTTATGAGACAGATCAGAAATGTTCTCACAGACCGAGAGGGTTTTGTTTTGGCGTGTTTCAGGAAACAGGTGCAAAACATCTCTACTTACGTCTGAGAGGATTCTAAAACATGACAGTTTTAACATAACAACTTGTTTTTCGTTTGACTGTAACCTTGTAAATGCACACACTTGCTCATTCAAAAGCAGAAATCAGAAAAATGCATAATTACTCTGTAACAGCTTTTAACATGAGTTCTAACTGCATGAGAATAAAAATCATTACTCAGTTAATAAAATTGATTAGTTCACTGCAACATCTAAAATGGTTTGAACTAAGACACTTTGATTATCAACATTTGAACAATAGTAATGATAATAAAACAGAGAGTGTTCTTTTCACTTGAATCTTCAAGAGAGAAAGTCTCAGGATGGGTGAACCTGTATTTCTGAGTTCAAATGAATGAAATGACAGTTCCTGTCCCACAAGGTTCTAAAGGTCAAGAGTTTTGACCTTAGACTTAGTTTCGACGTAGGCCTAGTCCACTACACCACTACTCCACATCAAGAGGAGCCAGTTGGGGTGGTTTGGGCACCTGATAAGGATGCTTCCTGGGTGTTTCTTCAAGGAGGTGCTTCGGTCACGTTCGACTGGGAGGAGACCCGGGAAAGACCCAGGACTTGCTGGAGAGACTACATCTCTCATTTGGCCCAAGAACACCTTGGGGTCCTCCCAGAAGAGCTGGAAGAGGTGGGTGGATGGATGGATGGATGGATGGATGGATGGATGGATGGATGGATGGATGGATGGATGGATGGATGGATGGATGGATAGATGGAGATGACATATGAAAATAGAAGCAAAACGTACCCAAATATTGAGAGGAATGGTTCTTACTTTATGAATATGGAGATACCTGCTTTCCTTTAATGTACAGAGAAACCCCCCCCCCCCCCACACACACACACACACCTCTTAAAAATATCCCGCCTCCACATGCCTTCCTCAGACTCTCTGAATAACCTTTGTGCCTCCTGATTGGCAGGTTAAACTGCACCTTCCTGTCATGTGAGTGGCGATTGTGGAAGTCAGGAGGGTAGAAATTAAAGGCCTTTCGTGTATGCGCCTCGGTGTTTGATTCAATAATAGATGGAGCTTGCCAGCTCCAGGCCATAATGACCATAATTAGACCAGTAGCTGGTCATGTGGATTATGATGAGGAGGAAGATGGTGTTTAAACTGTCTGCTCCAACTTTTTCCTGGATATCAGTTGTATTTTAAGTCCTGATAACAGAGTCCAGAAACCTTTTGTTCTCGTATGATATGAGGTGAAATGTGTCATTCAGAGCTCTTGTAAATTTATTTTTTTGCTTAAAGTCAGCATGTCATGTGTGAAAGCATACTGTGTTTCTGGTGCTTTCACACTTCTACCATCCCCGCTCAAACTTCTCACTCCAGCCCCCCCAGAGGTTCACGTTTGACAGCTTTCAACCACGCAGTCGCCTCTTTAATTGTCTGCTATTATCCCTCGTGCATATCCATCCGGGATGCTCTCTCTGCCTCTCGCCATGCGTCGGATGTATCTGCACCTCTGTGTGCTGCAAGTTGGTGAGGAAAAGGACTGAGGGAGGGGGGAAGGCTCTCCAGTGTGTTTGTTGTCACGCCGGTGCAAATTAACTCAGAAGAAGACACTCTGGGTCTGTCAGTCCTCTTCCTGGCTTCTTTCCACCCCCGTGCTCCGTTTCTCTTCAGAGCAGTGACCAGAGGAGGGTGGTGAGGCGACGGGACGCAGCCAGCGGTGGGCGTCGTGTTCCTCTTCAGACAACATGGGCCCCTCATGCCCCAGACACCCCCAATCTTCATGCACCAACTAATCACTCTTATTGTTAATGCGATTCTGGAGAGAGAGAGAGACAGAGAGAGAGACTCCAAGCATTTAACATTAAAGGAAATGGTTTAAAAAGAAGAATCGCAGCTAAGTGGAGATATTTCAAACTTCTCACCCCCCTCAACACACACACACTGAACTCAGATGTACTGTTTTTCACCACTTTAACTTCAGAAGTCTTGTTTCTGCAGCCGGGTCTGAAGGTCCTGCAGGTCCTAGATTTGGGGGAGAACCTCCTTAATAACGAGGGGATCCAGGCGATCAGAGAGCCTCTGATGATGAACGGCTCAGTTCTGCAGCTTGGCCTCACTCAAACCAACATCACCTGTGAAGGTACAACAACGCAGCTTTTAAAAAATATTTAAAAATAAATAAATTACATTCTCTGCAAAAATGCAGTCTTTGAGTCCTGAGTACCAAATGTTAGCAAAGCAGAAACTGAGTTCTTGAAGCTAAAATGAAGCAGAATGCTGCTTAAAAGCTAAAAAGAAAAAAGTTAGCTAAAAGTTGCAACAACAAAAACAAAAAACAAACATCTAAAAGCTACAAGTTGCAAAATACTAGCTAAAAGTAACAAAATACCAATTAACATCAATCAACAAGTAAGGCCAAATAAAATTAGCAAAACATTTGCTAAAAGCTAGAAAAAAAGACCAGCAAACAGTACTAATAGACTAGCTAAAAGCAACAAAAGACAGGCTAAATGTAGCAAAACAGCAGATAACTAAAAGCTAATAGTAGCAAAACTAGCTAAAAAAAAAAAAAAGTTAAGTCTGGTCCTCTGGACATTCAAAAAACAAAACAAACAAATAAAAAAAAAAAATATATACTTTTTTTTGTTTTGTTTTCTGAATGTCCAGAGGACCAGACTTAACTTTTTTAAAAATTTTTTTACTACCTGGATTATTGAGCATGCATCAGGACGGCTAGCTACTGTAAAGTATTAAACAGCTACCTAAGTTCAAATTTGTACAAGCCCAGCTAATAACAAATAAATCAGTGATAGCTAAAAGCTAACATGTAGCGAAAGGCTAACTAAAAGTAGAAAAAGGCTAGCTTGATGTAGCTGTAGCTTAAGAAGACAAAAACAAAACAAAAATGCTAAAGCATATTTTAAAAAGTACTACGCTTTTTGAAAAGGATGAGCTTTATGTATTTATGAAGAGAAAATATTTGTAGATAAAGTGAAATATTTTGAAGTATATAAATTACACACTAGAAAATTTCTGGAGAAACTTAGATGGGGACTGCTGCGTGGTGGCCATTTTAGAGTTCTGTCAGGCATTTTGAATGAGAAAATTGCATCTTTGTTTGTGAATTACGTCACCATAGTAACTCGAAACGCCAATAAATGTAATAGCACACATCACGGTACCAAGCCGGTTGTTTTGTTATAACATTTGTGGGGATACACATCGTGGTTTGGGCCACATTAAATTTGACAGAAGAGTAAGATATAAAGTTAAGAAACCCTTGTCAGGTGGATAATAATAGGGTGGCTTCCTTACTAAGCAGTCCCCTAAAACAGAAGTCATAGTAACACCTGAATGAACTGAACGTTTTAATATGAATGCCTAAAATAACAAAGTACGCAGAAGTTCAACATTAAGACAAAAGATCAGGTTTGTTCCATTTTTCTGCATTTAGTTTCTCATCTCCACTTCTTTTCTTCCGGTGAAGGTGCCGTGGCGCTGGCTGAGGTCCTTGCAGAGAATCGTTACATTCAGAGACTGGACCTCCGTCAGAACCAGGTGAAGCTGGGAGGCCTGATGGCCCTCAGTCTGGTCCTGAGGATCAACCACTCTCTGGCCCATCTGGATGTGGACCCGGTGCCTCCACAGGAGCAGGTAGATGAGGCTGAAAGTCTGTGGTTTGAACCAATGTTTTGTTTTTCTGGAGAAACATGTCACAGCTTGCTAACCAGACGTATTTGAACATCCAGTTTCTTAGTTTCATTTAAATACATCCACTGGTTCATGACTTATTTTGCCAACACCACAAACAAAATACTCCCTCGTGCAAAGACAGGCTAAAACATCATTGCCTTTGGTGGCAGCGATGATCAAGGTAATATTAGAGCACGAGGGCAACTTCGGCCTTTCAGCTCTTCAAGTCCTTGATTCCGATTCAGAATGAGGTTTTGGTTTCTTTTAGACTCTACGTTAGCCATTTTTATCATGTTTCCTGTGGCTGCAGAGGCCCGAGGAAAGCAACGCCATAGCTTTAATACATGCCCCGGCTGGATTCACAAAATAATTACCCACACTTGCCATCTGTTTGTCATGATTTTATCTCTGCTGACTTATTTGCATATTAAAGCATTAATTAAAATCTCCAAGGAAGGGGATGCTTACTTTAAAATTAACTCTGAAGGCGATCCGTGCGCGGCTTCCAGAGCAGTTTTATTTTAGTTTGCAGTGGTTTACGGTTTGTCTGCGTGTTGTTTACACGATTAAGTCTGATTTTTATGAAACGCCTCCTCTGGCTAAAGCCAGGCGAAAAAGATGTGCCAGATTCTGGAGGATGTTTCTGTAAATGTGTGTCATTAAAGCTGGGACTTCATCTCCTTTCTCTCTCTCTCTTTTTTTTCTTGTTTTGGTTGGTCTCCCCTAAAGCTTATAAGAAATGTGATTAGCATTTCCGCCGTTATTGCGAGCTGGTGTGGCTGGGCATTTTAAGGGAGTTGTAATAAGGGAATTTTTAAAGCTGTGGCAGGGTTTGGAGCCACACAGATGGGATTTGTCTTGCCGTGGCCTATCCAGGTGGGAGGAGTGATGATCGTATTAAAAACTCAAATCTTTCCATCAGAAAACAGCGGGTGGCCAGATCAAGTGTTCCCGCTCGTTCACATTCCCCAGGTCACAGAGGAATACGTGGAAATTCGGGGAAAATAAGAGACGGAGGGGGTGGCGTGGCAGCCGATGTTCAGTTTGTGTGTTTCTACATGTGTGGTTTTACACGGAGGCAGGGGGTGATTGAGGATGCGCATATTTAGGAGGCGAGAAAAGAAGGTGGAAGGAGGGGAGGAAATCTGGGTCCTCTCGTCTTTGTTTACAAGAGTCAGAGTTTTCATGTCTGCTCCATTTGATCAGTGGCCTGTTTGCTGTTAATTATTAATTATTTACCCATTTAAAATATTCATGCTCCCTGGCCCTGGTGGAGAGCAGCCTGTTCAGAGGGGCAGCTTCTCTCTGTAGCCACTGCAAGAGGGAGCTGTTTATACATCCTTATCAGGGGACCGAGCTAATGAACCCAAGTTCCTCTGCCCGACACGCTCTTTATCACAGGTTGGACACCGGAGCCTCAAACTGTTTGATGCCTAAATATTTGGCTTTGGATTTGTCCAACCCGAGCATCCAGTCAGCAGAACTGCGAGGAGATAAGGCAGCGTGTCCTCTTCTGAATGTCACATGCCAGCAGTGTGAGGCTGTTAGACACAAGTTTGTCTGTGGACGACTGGTTACTTGTTTCAGCTGTAATGTAATGAATTGACCTCGTCCAAACAAGCATATTTGTTCCGTTTTTTTTTTTTTATTATATGCCCATATAAGACGAACGTTTCATTGTATAGCCTTCGTCTGTCTGTCCATACATACACTTTGTCTTGTCTGGGCGATAACTTCTGATCCGCTCAAGATAATTTAATATAACTTCATACACAAATGCATCATCACTAGATGGAATGTTGCATTCACTTTCCATCACACCAGCTCACATCAAGGTCAAAGTTAAAACAAGACTTTACTTGTATCACCCCTAATTTCCACTCAAGATAATTTACCGAAACTTAATACGCATTTGCACCACCACTAGACAGCATGTTTCATACTTTTTTAATCACCCCAGACCAAGGTCACAAATTAAGGTCACATGTCATAGAAGTTATTGTCTTATCTGAGACATTGCTATAGATTGTGGTAATGTTGTTTTATTGTCAATAGACATACAATATGTCATACGCGATACTTCATCCATCCATCCATTATCTTTTACCCGCTTCTTCCCTTTCGGTTCACGGGGGTCACTGGTGCCCATATCCAGCAGTCACTGTGTGAGAAGCAGGGTACAACCTGGACAGGTCTCCTGTCCGTCATAGGGCTGCATAGAGTCTCTCTCACTCACACCAAGGCACACAACAGTGGTACCAACCCTGGTCCTTGAGGAACACCATCCTGCATGTTTTAATGGTTTCCCTCCTCCAACACACCTGATTCAGTTATTTAATTACTTACTCATGTTCTGTAGAAGCCTGTAAATTACCCATTTATTACAAGCAGGTGTGTTGGAGCAGAGAAACAACAAAAGCATGCAGGATGGTGTTCCTCAAGGACCAGGGTTAGGACACCCTGATTTAGAGTTACCAATCAGCCTAACATGCGTGTTTTTGGTCTGCGAGAGGAAACCGGAGTACCCGGAGAAAACCCACACATGCACAGAGAGAACTTGCAAACTTCACCCAGAATGACCCCCAGCCAGAATTCGATCCGGCAACTTTCTCGCTGACAAGCAGCGGCTTTACCAATTGCGCCACTGTGCCACCCTGTATACAATACTCTTGTTTTCGAATTGTCCTGTCATTAACTTTATACTTTCACCTGCTAACTGAAGCCTGCAGAGACTGAGATTTATGTGAGCATTGCACAGTCTGACCTTAGGGGTGAATTTGCTGGGACAGCCTCTCCTGAGAATATTGGCATTTGTCTCAAATGGTTTATATTTGTGAAGGATTTTTCTCTATGCAGTCAAGGTAGTTTGTAAATGACCTGTAATTGTTTTTCAGACTGATGGGCAGCAACAGTTTCTCTGAGGTCATTGCTGTCATCTTTCTGTCTTGGTATTGTGTTAACCCACCTGCACACTTCATCGCAGCAACGTGACAAAACTCCTTGTTTTACAGAGCTTTTCTAATAACTGAATTTTTGGGGGCAATAATTATTTTTTTGTTTATTTCACTTTTATTTACCTGTTATCAAATCATCAAATATTCAGTTTTCCTACTTTTGTTTATGAATTAAACATCTTTAAAACTTTTTTTCCCCATAAAGCTGCCATTTGGAGTTAAAATTGAGATTATTTCAAGTTATGATCTGATTTCCTTTTCAAGTCAGCTGTTTGATGTGTTGATGTCATCTATACCAGCGTAGCTGTTTTTTGTATGAAACCTAACATTAACTGAGCTTCACTGATCAGTATTTCCCTCTCGAGTCAGCATCCTTGTCATGTTTTTATTTTTTTGCATTTGTTACCCACTGTGTTGCATTTGAGTGTCCGCACACAGAGATGTGGAAATCCCAGCAGATGTTAATTTCATGGTGAAACATCAGCTGTGTCCAGTCTTTATCAAACGCTGTCGACTTGTTACACCTCGACGTAGTTTTCTGCCTGACTGTGAACGGCATCTGAGAGCAAAGACATGATGGCGTGTCTGTGGTGAGAGATCATGTGAGGAGCACGCAGCGGCCTGTCTCAAGGAGCATGAATTTGTGTATGAGGAGACAAGCAGGTCTCCTGGTGAGTTTATGGTCCCCCGTCCTGTCCCAGCAGGGCAGCTGGATGACAGAAAGGCCTGACCATGCATGTAGACGGGACTCGTGATGACACTGCTGCTCAGGAGGATCGTGGGAAGAAAACAGCAGCCAGGCAGAACAAAGCTCGTAGCAACGCCTCGGAGGACAGCTCTGGGCTCAGACTGCTCCCAGATCAGTCGGTCTGTCACCTGCTGGAACCACAGCTCCCAATACATCTGACAGGTCTCAGAGGGAGACAGAGGGACAGATTATTTAACCAAGTGAATCAGCAGAAAAAAATCAAACTCACCAGGTTATAGAGCTGAGGTGCATCCTGCCAAGTCATGCTTAAAGGCCAGAGAGCACAAACTGAGGATTGTAACTCCAACTGAAAATGCTGATTTCTGGAGCATCATCCTCAAAAAGCTCACATTTTGCTCAGGTGGGAGTTGAAAACATAAACACCAGCAGCTAATATGAAATAAATGTATTCATTTATATTTTACTGGCAGATTCAAGCATAATGCAAAATAAGAAGTTACCAAAAACTGTGTTTAAATCGCATTTAGGGTGCTATTGAAACTTCTAACTGTACAGGCAGTCAACTAAAAACAAACAAAGAACAGAAGGGGACAGTTGAAGTGGATTTTGCAAAACAAATATATATAAAATTGCTAATTAATGTGCATCAAATGAGAAAATAAACATAGCAGGACCTGTTAGTGTTGGTTTAGCAGGATACAAGAATTGTTAACCAGCTACATAATCAATAAAAAGAAAGCACAACAGCTACAAAAAGATGCTCCAGCACTCAAGTCTTGTGATTTATAATGCTGTCTTGTCTATTTGAGCTATCAATGTAGTAAAATAGCCAGATATATTAAAATACTGTTTGTCATTGAATGCACCATGAAAGGAAACCGTCAAATAAACAGCAACATAATTTAATATAAAACTAAATTAGAAATAATCAAAGTAACCTTCAGATTTCTAATGAAATGGAGTCGCAATAAAATTTAGAATAAACCTGATGTTTTTTATGATAACCTGTAAAATAATAATAATAATAATTATTATTATTATTATTATTATTATTATTAATAATAATAATAATGATAATAATAATGATAATAATAATAATAATAATAATAATAATAATAATAATAATAATTGGTTAAACTTTCATATGTTGAAATGTGTCATAACAGCTTCAGGGATACAGGAGATCCCAACTTCATTTATCTATAACTTAAGTGCCAACAGATTTTCTTGCAACTTCATGACATATGGTAAGGTTTATTGTACATATAGTATCACTTTTGTAAAATATTAGTGCATTT